CTCAAGTAGAAAGCAAATGTTTTGAGAATGATGAGGGCAACAAATGTACCACAGTGCTTGACACAATGGATGTAGGTATGGATTGTGATGAGAGCTGTATAAAATGACTAAAAAAAAAAGAGCCTGAGGGTCCCAGGGTGCAGAACTTTCTGGAGCTTCACTTACCTTCACCACGATGATGACCTTGCCCTGCTTGAGGCCGACGGCGACAGCAGACGCAGTGGTGTCCTTAGAAGTTTTGTCGGTTGTGATGATCTCCAGCAGCTGCATCTTGTCCACGGGCGAGAAGTAGTGCATGCCAATCACCTGCGAGGGGAGGGAGGGTCAGAGTCAGAAGCACCCAGGTGGCAGAGAGTGGGTGAGATCAGCAGCACTGCTTGCTACAGTCCGGTGGGTTGGCCCCTTGCTCTCTGATGACAACTTCGGTGTGTCTGGGGCCGGCTTCATGGAATCCCCCTCGTCTGTCCACTTGCTCCTAGAGCTAATCATGAAGGGCCCCCCCCCCAGCCATCCATCCCACCAACAATCAGGGCTGGCATTGCCGCTAGCGGCCCAGTGACCCCTGCTGGGAAGACTGGGTGCAGGTTCCACCTGTGCTTGTGACACTGAGGGTAGAGGGCCTACTGCTTTGGAGGGAGAGCAAGAGGATTTGCTGAAGGGTCCCCTCCCCAGGTGCTGAGTGGAAATAGCCTTTCTCCACACATGCAGACTCATGACACCAGGCATTCTGCAGTGGGTCCTGGCCCAGCAGCACCCACAGCGCCAGCCCCAGCCCTGGGGAAAGGTAGAACTGCAGTGGAGGGCCTGTGTCCCGGCAAACCCCCAGACAGGGTCACCCTGCCTGGGCCTTCCTTTATGTGAGACAGGAGCAGGCAGCACTACCCTGGCACCTGCAGCAAGTGAGATACTGGTTCCACTTGGTGGTGGTGGTGGTGGTGGGCAGTGTCAGGCGCCCAGAATGAGGGCCGTGGCCCCTTTTACACTGGTCTTGCATCCTCCTCAGTGTCAGATGATCAGCTGCCACTTCTCCCCAAGATCCCTCTCCAGGATCTCTGTCCTGCCCCATCAGGCCCGCATCCCCGCTAATCTGCGATGTGCAGGGAAACTCCGTTAGCCCGTATTAGCCAGGATGGATAAACAGACTCAGAACAAAAGGGCTATTGTGCTTTTAGCACATGGACTTTGTGTTAACAATTCCCACGACTGAAAGGCCTTTTATGTTTCCTGCCTGCCTCTGGCTGGTTCTGGTTAGCAGAGGCTAATCGGTATCTTCCTGAGAAGTGGGGTGTCTCATTCCTCCTTAAAGGGTTTCACGTCCCTCTAATTACTCTGGAGATATCTGAACCAGACAAATGTCTAAGCATCATTCTACACCCTCCCTGACCTTCCTCTCTTCCGCCCCCCTTCATGTCCTGCAAAGAGCTCTACGTGAACCTGTGGGAGGACACGTCCCGGCCCATCCTTGTCCTCTCCCGGATCTGAAGCTGGAACCAGGCCATCCCAGACAGTCCCCAGAGCCTGCCGTCGAGCAGAAGCCATTTGGGGGAACAGTTCTTCTAGGGCCTGTCCTTAATGCCTAATTGTAGGTTCAAGGTAATACATAACTAGGAGTGCACATCACTTACTATGTGACAGTTTGTAGTTGCACTGTAATATCCCTGCATCTCACACTGGCTTTTCTGTGCCCAGCTTTTGGAAGTACTCTGTCACCTCATCCCCTTCCCCTTCGTAAGCCACCACACGCCCTTCCACCTGCGCCTTCCCAGCTGGCAGCAGCAGAGAGCAGGGCTTTCCCTGGTTCGGAGTTTACCTTGTCAGGCCTTTTGCTGACAGCTGCAATCTCATTGATTGGGAGAGCAGAGGTGTTACTGGCGAAGACGCAGTGATCTGGAATCACCTGCAGGGATAACATTTAAGAATCTGTCAGGCAGGCTGGGGAGATGGCCCGAGTCCAAAGCAAGCCTAATGAGTGGCACTTGGGCCCAGCCCACCCTTTCACCCCGTGCTGCTCAGACAGAAGACTCACTGCATTCCTCGCCCTGTCCTTTCCTGGTTAGCTCGGGCTTCTGGGTTGGGAGAAGGCACTGACCTCGTCTCTGCACCATTCCGAGTCTTCCTCTGGCTATGCTCTACCTGACCTTCACCCGGGAACTACACACGGCGACTGGCTACGTAAGAGACCTAGATTAGGGGTCCTAAACTATGGCCCACTGAAGAGATTTATTCGGCCCACCGGGTGTTTTTGCCACTGCTACCTGTCCCGCTTAGCAGCTGACTCGTCCAGTGTGCAGAGGAATTTGTTCATAGTTTTTTTTAAACTATAGTCCGGCCCACCAACGGTCTGAGGGACAGTGAACTGGCCCCGTTTAAAAGTTTGAGGGCCCCTGCCCTAGATAAACACTGAAAAGATGGCTTTGAATCAAGTCTCATTCAAGACCAAGCACAGGTGTCAGCCCCCTCCTTATGGGCATCTGCCTTCTAGCCTGAAAGTTGCTGACAACTTGACATCTCTACCTTCACCTTTAGAGGAAGACAGAGCGAGCACACCTGGTTCATGTTATACTGTGTGTTACTGAAAAACCAGATAAATGCACAGGAGCGGGACCTGCAGTACCTGACTACTATGAGCGATGAGCCATCACCCTGGAGAGCAGGCCCTGATGCAGACTGTCTCAGCATCCTGTCTGCGACCCAACTTACTCACGTTGTCACTCAGACGCTCGAATCAAAGACATGGAAGGCACACCTGACAAATGCGTGCACATCTGGGACAGGCAGAGTCAGAGATGAGAATCAAGGATTCAAGATACCTTGAACATGTTGAAAAGCTAGCTAAGTGTAAAAGATGAGTTAGTAAATGGATAAAGGTAACGCATTTCGATAAGAGTTAAAGGAAAGAAGGACGAGGTAACAAAAGAAGTGAATAGGTACGGGATGAGCAAAACCTAACTTGGCAATGAATTTATGATACAGGTCCCAGGAGGTCAGTGAATGCACAGCACCACGCGGTCACAGCACAGTGTGACTGCAAGGAAGCTGACAGAGCTCAAGCTGCACAACAGGGGCGTGTGCTGTCCAATCTTCCGAGATGGCTGCAGACAGCTATGCCCTCCTCCTCCCATCCAGACGTGGCATCTCCCCTGTACCTTGAACCTGGGTGGGCCTGCTGACCTGCTTTGACCAGCCGAGGACAGTGGACGTAGCCCTGCCAGTCCCAGCTGTACCCTTCATGAGCCCGCTAGTGCCTGCTTTCGTGGATGCCAGCAGCCAGGCTGAAGAGACACACTGGCTCGACTACTGAGTCTCTAGAGGCCCCAGGTAGAGAGAGGCCAAGAAGAGCAGCATCGGGTGCCACCACCCAGCTCCCAGCGGAAAGAAGCCCATCAAGGGACGCCCGCCCACAGCACGTGAGTGCACAAGGGAGAGACAATGGAGCGCTGCACGGTGTGACCCAGAAGAGGGGCCCAGGGACCCCAGGGAGCCCCTCAAGGCAACAGTGGAAGAGCTAGGGCCAATGTCTGGGGAAGGATGCCAGAGGAAGGAGCATCGGAGGAAAGCAGGCCAGTTAAAAAGCCTTGAAGGGCTGGCATGTGGATTCAAATGCAAACATTCTTATGAAGAAAGCAAAGGCCAATACCATAGGAAGGGCTTTCCTACGAGTGGAAGACAGATGACTGGATGCCCCACTAAAGGGCTTTCTCTGATGGTTCCTGGTTTCTAAGTCTGCAGCTGTTCCGGACCCCAGCCTTCTTTATCCCCTCAGGTGATTTCATGAGTCTCACTAAGAAGCCAGGGCACAGGACACATCACATGTCACTGGAATCTTACTACTCTCTGTAATCATAGAGCTCTGTCTACCGGTTGTACTTCTGTTTTTTACTGCCAAACCCCCTCAATCCCCCCATCTCTTCTACTGATACCTAGTTCCTTCTCCCCCATCTCCTACATGCGTAGCTCGCACCCCTTGTCTTTCTCTCTATTTTGCCGGCAACTTCAGTCCATCCCTTTCCCTCGTAACCGCGGCGCTCCATCTGTGGCGGCGGCGATGCTGGTCACCTTTTGGCCTACAGCTCTCTCTTGACCGGTGGCTTCTCCTGCTATTCCACTCTGAAACCCCACACCCCGACTTCTCAGGGCAACACCACGGAACTCACTGGGAAGGGCCCTTCCACCCTGGCCGTGTCGGCTGTGCATGCTGGCAGGCTCCACCCCCATCACCGGAGCAGTGCTCTCTCCCCAGGCCATGGGGGTGGTTGGGCAGCCTCTAGCGCCCTCCTACACTGAAATGGGACACAAATCTCCCTGCCCCGACCGTCTCCTTCAGTTGAATGCAGCAGTCTGCTGTACCTACAGAAGGCGTCTGGAAACGGGGTCTCATAGTGCAGTTGGTCCCAAACAGAGCTCCTCCTCTTTAGTTTCTAAGCGTTCCTTCGGCTCGGAGTCACGAGGAGGGCAGGGACTGTCTGCCCACAGAAGGGCATCTTGTGGGCCCTGCCTGCCTTCTCCCAGGGGATTGCCTCAGACACCCAGAGTGTAGCCAAGTCAGCCTCAGTTCCTTTGCGCGTCTGCTAACTCTCCTGCTGTGTACTGAAGCCCAGGGTAGGCGAGGCTCTGATCCGACCTTCCAGGACTCTTTGTTGACAACACTCACCCCCAGCGCTTGTTTTGCTCACATCACTTGCTATCTCAAGAATAGCTACTGTGGCGCGATTGAGATCAGGACCAAAGCAGCATTCCCAGAGAATGAACATCTGAGTACTGCCTGGGGAGGCTGCTTCTCCCTCCGTCCTTTGCTGCCTAATTTAGTTCTGGTTTGCTGCCAGCTCCAAACCCCCATGGCACTGTCACTCGTGCGCTTGGGTAACTGAGCTCCCACAAGAATTAAGACCAGTGAACCCTGCTCCACCTGAGCGTCTTTCCCAGGACCTAGGTCTGACCTCTAGAGCATAAGCTGGTGTCCGGCTCACGGAAAGACTTGTACTCGGACACGAACAGCCTCTGAAAGGAGCCCCGTGCGTCCTCGTGTCCTCCACTCACCGTCTCCACTTCCTTGAGCACCCTGTGCTTTAGGCTAAGGTCCTCAAACACAGCTTCAATCACCATGTCGGCCTTCTCAAAGCCCTGGTAATCAAGCTGCCCAGTCAAGTTGCTGAAAATGAAGTCCCTTTCAAACGACGTCAGAGCCTTCTTCTTCACTCTGTCGTTCAATCTGGAAAGAACATGTTCCTGATTAGAGGAGAAGCACCGAAACTCCCACTGCCGGAGTGTCCGAGAATCAGACAGTGCACTCTGCCACCACCGCTCTAACAGGGAGTCACTTGACAGGAGCCCCTTAGAGAGCCAAGCTCCTCAAAGAGGCTGAGAGGGACTCTTGTCAAATCGCTATTCAGGCAGGGCCCTGGGATGCCAGCTCAGACTGGTCTCTAGGTACACAGTCTTCCTCTAAGATGCCCAATGGCAAACTCCCAGACTGTTCTTTCCCGAGAAGCCTCCATGGAGCAAGGGGAACAAAGTCGCAAAGACAAGAGAGCAGCTCTGGTAATGGTCTACACAACAGGGACACCAACCAACAGGGTCCTTGACCACAGGGTATTCTACTCCCCAACCCAGCACAGGAAAGTACTCTACAATTATAATCCCCCAGTGATTACTTCTTGTAACTTCAATCCACTTTCCGGGATGTAGCACCTAGCAGCACACCTTACTGATGACATAAATTATCAATGCAAGATCTCTCCTTTCCCACAGGGGCTACTCATAATAACCTGTTATTTTGAATACAGTCATTAGAATGTGTACCCCCCTCACAAGCTCCTTTTTTCCTGAACATATGAACACGAGCTACTCCACATTTAAACCAAGTTTCCTTCTTTTAAAAAAGACTGACAGTTCGTAGGGCATTTTTGATTGCCAAGGAAAACAGGCGCTCTTAGGTTTCAATCTGATCACACTTTGGAGGGGAAGACCTACTGTTTTCCTCTGAGTGAAGAATGAACCCCAGTCACTCATCTATTTATTTATTTATTTATTTATTTTTTCATTCACTCATTTTTTTACCTAGCAGAAAAAATTTAAAACATCAGGTAAACTCAAAGAAACACTCAATTAAGGTCTTAAAAGTACAGGCTCAAACCACCGCCGACTATGTCAGTGGTCAGCAAGCAAGAACTGGACAGACTCAGAGCATCGGTGGCTGGTCTGATTCTACTGAAACTAGGTCTCAGGCGGCCAGGAGCCATGTTCATAGTCCAGGACACTGGGGAAGGGCTGATGCTCTGAGGGAAAGGGAACCCGGGCAGCTCTGTTCATGGGAGATGGGGCAGAGGCTACTCTAGAGCAGCAATCCCCTTTGGGGGGCAGATGCCATGAGGTTTGGGGATGCTTGGGTGGCAGCCCCTGGGCAGTTCTGTTATCTGGCACAGGCCATTGGGGTGGGGGTCACACCTCCCAGATCTTTTACTAGGACTCCTGGCTTATCTGCCACCACGACATCTGGGAACAATGTGGAGCTTCCCTACAGAAAAGGGATAATGACATACTTAAGCTACATCATCCATTTAAACAACAGAAAAGCGCTCACTCAGCTAAACAGCACCTGCAGGGCAGACTAAGTGCAGGCAGCTTGTCCATTACATTGAGGCCGAGAATGACGCTGTAAACAATTCCCAGTTTGCCATTATTTACCACCTGTCAGACGGATGGAAGGGGCGAGAGAGAG